ATGTATTTCCTAATTTAAAGCTATTTTAAAGATGGATTTATATGTTTTCTGCTTTCATAAAGGTCAACAGTAACTTCTTTAAGCAAAATCCTATATCATTGTCACTGTCTGGACTTTCTTTATTTCTTTTTTTTTTTTTTTTTTCTGCCGCTAATACTATTGATGAAGAAACTGAGATTGTGGAGGGTATGGGTTAGAGTTGATGTGACTAATCTCTTGTTTAAGTAAGGACATGGGATATAAAGGTAGATGAGCACTCTATGTAAAATATACAGTAGCTGTCATTGGTACAGACACAGACAGAAAAAGCCTGATTACTATCTTAGGCTTGATTCATTGAGCAAATATGGAGTTTACATAAATAAATGCTGACACGGTAAAGTGGTAATAATGGGTTTGGCAGCTCTAAAAGGGAGGATGAATTAGAAATTATGTTTCCTGTTAAGTTTCATCGTATTTAGATGTTCCTAAACTCTTTTGGTTTAAAAATGTAATTTTCAACATGCTTTATGATATGTTAAATCGTAATAAATTTTTCAAAAATATAATTTTAAACATTCTTTATAATGTGATATGACATTTTTACATGTAATAAAGAGAATTATTCTAATTGATTGAGAGTTGAGAACATTATTTTCCCACACAAAAGGATAATGCTGAAGTTGCAATTTTCTTTACCTGGCATTACTACACATAAGACTTATGAAATGATAGTGACCTTCTAAGTACATAGAACAACTAAAACATGGTTAAATTAAATTATTGACACATGTTGAATATTAGTCTTCTAGCTCATAGAAAGCATATATACACAAAGCCCTTGGGATCAGAAGCACAAGGAAATGGATTCAAGTGGCTTGCTTTATAGCAGTGATTCTCAGAGTAAGGTCTGAGGAGCTTGTAAAACAAGCATATTTACAGAGCCTACCACAGACCTCCTGAATCAGAGTCTTTGGGGATGGCACCAGAAATCTCCTTATTTTACAAGCTTCCTAGAAATGTCCAATGCCCACTGAAAGTTGGAGACCTACTGCCTCAAAGAGTGATCTTTGGTTCCACTCCAGTATGGCCCTAAACCAGACCTTATTTTCAGCCTGTATCCCAAGAAATTTGCAAAAGTTCTTGAGAAAAAAGGGTGTGTCTTTGTGGGCAGGTGTGAATTCCAGTACTCTGAATCTCTTTAAACAGGTGCAAATACCTGTTTATTTTACCTTATTTGTATGTCTTAGATTTGTTGGAGAAAACTGAATGTGGCATTCCACTGAATAAACATAATGAGTTTCCACTGCTTTTTTTTTTTTTTTAAAGTCTGTTCCTTTCCCAAGCACATACAGATGTTACAATTTTGCTTCTATATGAGGAATTCTAACACAGAGCTCTAAATGACATGGGAATATAAAGTGATTGCCATTTATCCTGGAAAACATGTATGGGTGATGAGATTCTGGGTGATTTCTTATTTATTTATTTAGTTATTTTGTTCATCTTTACACTTTTATGTATAGCTCAAGCTTCTTATAATAAGCTTGTATCTCCCTTTCTACACCTAGCATCCAGAAGGGTGCATGGTCTAAAGTTTTTATCTCAGCTATGGGATTGGGAAACAATTCCCCAGTGATGATTTTGAAAGTTGTCAGTTCAGTTGTGCCCAGAATAACGTTCACTGACAGATCAATAGGAAATTATTTTTTATTAACCTCATAGTAATCTAAGCCTTCATTTTAAAAGATTTTTTAACCTGCTTGCAGAGTTATGGTGTGGATCTATTGTGTTATTGTTCTTTTTTATGAAAGAAAATGTATGTATCAAGGAAAGAAAAAAATTCCAAGGGCTAGTCCCTAAGGTAATTTTCATTTGCCACAGTACCTGTTGCTATCAAAATATTTTTCCTCAGGAAAACTATATTACAAATACAAGTTTCATTTTATAATTTACGTTAAATTAAACTTTAGAATGGTAATAGCTTTGTCAATATATTACATAGAAAATAGAATGATATTCATGGTTTCATAGTGGTTGAACCTAATTTTGCAATAAATAAAGACTTTTTTAAAAAAAAAAAAGCAGCAGTGAAATTCATTACTCTTAGTGATTCAGTAGAATAAGCTTTGAATTTCTAGTTTGCAAGGTCATTTTTAAAAATTCGTCTGCTGTTCCTCCATATTTTTAAAAATTTAGGTGATCCTATATTTACATCATATTTTCCCTTAAGTAAAATATCACTTAAACCGTTAAACATCACTTTTAAGATAGTGAAATTTCATATTATTTTCTGCAAAATAGTAGGTACATAGCATTATCCTTTTTTATATATTCTAAACTATGGCACAGAAAGTATGAGTAATACAACAGTTTAGTAAAAGAACAAAATAATAAATCCCAGGGCTTTTAGTGTTGGTTGATTACCCCCCATGATATATGAGGTTTTTCTCTCTACACATTGATTTCAGGCAACCCTTTGTAGCCTTAAAAAGCTATTTTGCAAAAGAAGAAAAGAAATGGATAATTAAATATATAAAGCAATAAATTAACAAAAAATTGGTTGTTTTTTAATTACTGGTCTCTATTTTCAATCCACTGTTAGAATAAATCTTTTTTTTTTTTTTTTTTTTTTTTCTGAGACAGTCTTGCTCTGTCTACCAGGCTGGAGTGCAGTGGCCTCTGCCCCCTGGGTTCAAATGATTCTCATGCCTCAGCCTCCCGAGTAGCTAGGATTACAGGTGTGCACCACCACACCCAGCTAATTTTTGTTTTTTAGCAGAGATGGGGCTTCACCATGTTGGCCAGGCTGATCTTGAACTCCTGACCTCAGGTGATCCACCCGCCTTGGCCTCCCAAAGTGCTGAGATGATTACAGGCATGAGGCACCATACCCGGCCAAATAAATACTTAATATTTAGGTGAACAGGTCTCCCTAGATGTGTAATACATTATTAAAAATGACCAACTCACCCAATTTTACTTTTCTCATTAGCTCTCACGTTCAACTTTACCCAAAGGCTACAAGAAAATTACATTTTTACAAGCAATTAAACAGTTCCATAAATCTCTGCAGTTCTGAATTACCCAACAGTGAAAACAAAAATTTCAATCTGCAGGTTTTAAGATGCACTCTCACTTTGCCCTCAACTTAACTAATTGTGTTTTCTCCCTATATACATTTTCCACTTATGAGTTAATTGATTAATTACATCTCACACCCATTTTTTTCTACCTTTCTTTCCCAGCTGTGTATTTTCATTGACTCATAGAAATTTAGAGAAAGAGGTCACTTTACAGATTAATTATTCTGTATATTTTTTGTCTGATGAAACGGAAGCACAGAGAGATTCAATTACTTGCCAAAAGTTGAATAATTAATTTTCCTGTACATAAAACATTTATTATTTGCTTTAGCAAGAAATATTATCAAATTATATATAATTTTCAGCACCTTATTTGTTATTCAGAAATATATGCATACTTTGTTACATATTACAGTTGTACTGTATTTTGAGATAATTGTGAATTCACATGCAGTTATAAGAAATGTTACAGAAAGATCCTGTGTAGTTTTTACACAATTTTCCCCAATGGTAACATCAGGCATTACTATAGCACAGTATTGAAATATAAAATTGACATTGATAAAATCTATCAAACATTCACATTTCACCAGTTATACATGAACTCATTTATGTGCATGTGTATTTAGTACTCTACAATTTTATTATATGTGTAGATGAGTGTGACAACTACCATGGTTGATATAAAGAATTTCATCCCAAAGATTCCCTATGCTACCCATTACAGCTACAGTCACCTCCATCTCTGCATATAGTGGAACCTTATGTGATCTAGGGATTTCCAAAACTGAAGTCTGTCCAGGAACTCATTTTGAAATGTGGACAAGACAAGGTCAAGGTTAAGTTCATCCCTCTGACAGACAACACAGTGATTGAGGGGCACCTGGGGAAGTTTGGTGTTATTTGCTTGGAAGACCTCTTTCATGAAATTGCCTTCCCGAGGAGGCATTTCCAGATCTCATGGTTCTTGCATCCTGTCCACCTCTCAGTGGCACATCATGCTACTAAACATAGAGTGAGCTTCCACAAGGAGATGGGCTCACCTGGCTATCGGGGTGAATGCATCAATTGACTCATCCACCAGTTGAACTACGCCCTGGTGAGGCAGGGCTGAAAACTGCCCTTGGGTTGACTTTTGATGGGCCATGCCTTGCCACTTAAAAATTCTTTTCGCATTTACTAGTATTTAAGAGTAACCTTGACACTGGGAGAAAAGAAGAGGCTGGTACTAATACATTGAGACCTGCTGTGAGCGATGAATGCCTGATTAGGACATGGAGGTATGCATAGCCTAACTGTTATAGGCTTTAAAATGTTGAGTAATTAAAAACTGTATTGCTGCAGTCATTCAGATGGAAATGGGGAAGGAATAATATTAATAACTTATTTCAAAAGGACTGGAAGATGTGAACCATCTATTTCGCTGAAGAAATTGTAACTCTTTGAAATTACTTTTTATTGCTGTTGTTATTACTCTTAGGTGCTAATCTGCAGTAAATTTTTATCAATGAAGTGGAAAAGTAAATAAATACGTAAATAGGGAATCCTGTCTCTATTGCTTGTTTTTGCTAGGGTTGTTGAAGATCAGATGGTTGTAGGTGTGCAGCATTATTTCTGAATTCTCTATTCTGTTCCATTGATTTATGTGTCTGTTTTTGTACCAGTACTGTGCTGTTTTTTTACTATAGCCTTGCAGTATAGTTCGAAGTCAGATGGTGTGATGCCTCCAGTTTTGTTCTTTTTGTTTAGGATTGTCTTGGCTATGTGGGTTGTTTGTGGTTATATATGAATTTTAAAATAGTTTTTTTCTAATACGGTGAAGAATGTCATTGGTAGTTTAATGAGAATAGCATTGAATCTATAAATTACTTTGGGAAGTATGGCTTTTTTTATTTTGGTATATAAACTGTTTATTAACAGACAAGGCCTACAGACTTATTTCTTCTTGGACACACCCATGGTGCAGTCACGGTGGCCGTGGTCTTGGTGTGCTAACCTCAGACATGAAGGCCCCAGAAGTGACACAGCCCTCTACGGGCCTGAATCTTCTTCAGTCGCTCCAGGTCTTCACGAAGCTTGTTGTCCAGACCATTGGCTAGGACCTGGCTATATTTTCCATCCTTTACATCCTTCTGTCTGTTCAAGAACCAGTCTGGGATCTTGTACTGGCTGGATTCTGTGTAATGGTGATCACACGTTCCACCTCATCCTCAGTGAGTTCTCCCGCCCTCTTGGTGAGGTCAATGTCTGCTTTCCTCAACACCACATGAGCATGTCTTCGGTCTACACCCTTAATGGCAGTGATGGCAAAGGCTATTTTCCGCCGCCCATTGATGTTGGTGTTGAGTACTCGCAAAATATGCTGGAACTTTTCAGGGATCACTAGAGACATGGCGGCAGCACAAGTGGAGGTGTGTAGGCCTCCTGTGGAAGAGCAGTATGGCCATTTTTAAGATGTTGATTCTTCCTATCCGAGACTGTAGAATGTTTTCCATTTGTTTGTGTCCTCTCTGATTTCCTTGAGCAATGTTTTGTAGTTTTCCTTGAAGGACCTCTTTCCTTGAAGAGGTCCTTTACTTCCCTCGTTTGCTGTATTCCTAGGTATTTTATTCTTTTTGTAGCAATTGTTAATGGGGATTCATTCATGATTTGGCTCTCGCTTGCCTGTTGTTGGTATATAGGAATGCTAGTGTTTTTTGCACATTGATTTTCTATCCTGAGACATTGCTGAAATTGTTTACCAGTTTAAGAAGATTTGGGGCTGAAATTGTGGGGTTTTCTAGGTATAGGGTAATGTCATCAGTAAACAAAGATAATTTGACTTCCTCGCTTCCTATTTGAATATGCTTTATTTCTTTCTCTTGCCTAATTGCCCTGGCCAGAAACTCCAATACTATGTTCAATAAGAGTGGTGACAGAGGGCATCCTCGTCTCATGTCAGTTTTCAAGGGGAATGCTACCAGCTTTTGCCCATTTAGTATGATATTGGTTGTGGGTTTGTAATATATGGCTCTTATTATTTTGAAATATGTTTCTTCAATACCAGTTTATTGAGAGTTTTTAACATGAAAGGATGTTGAATTTTATCGAATGCTTTTTCTGAATCTATAGATATAATCATGTAGATTTTGCCTTTAGTTCTGTCCATGTGGTGAATTACGATTATTGATTTGCATATGTTGAACCAACCTTGCGTCTATGGGGTGAAGCCAAATACACGATGGTGTATCAGCTATTTGATATGCTGCTGGGTTTGGTTTGCCAGTATTTTATTGAGAATTTTTGCATTGATGTTTATCAGGAACATTGGACAGAAGTTTCCTTTTTTTGTTGTATCTCTGCCAGGTTTTGGTATCAGGATGATACTGGCCTCATAAAATGAGTTAGGGAAGACTCTCTCCTTTTCAGTTGTTTGGAATAGGTTCAGAAAAAATGGTACCAGCTCCTCTTTGTACCTCTTGTACAATTCATCTGTAATTCCATCTGGTCCTGTGTTTTGTTTTGTTTTGGTTAATATGCTATTTATTACTGCCTCAATTTCGGAACTCGTTACTCGTCTATTCAGGGATTCAGTTTCTTCCTGATTCAGCCTTTGGAGGGTGTATGCATCCAGGAATTTATCCATTTCTTCTAAATTTTCTAGTTTATGTGCATAGAGGTGTTTATAGTATTCTCCGATGGTTGCTTTTATTTCTGTGGGGTCAGTGGTGATATTAGCCTAATCGTTTCTGATAGTGTCCATTTGATTCTTCTTTCTTTTCTTCTTTATTAATTTAGCCAGTGGTCTATTTTGTGAATTAAAAAAAAAAAAACAGCTCATGGATTTATTGATTTTTTAAAAATCCCTTAAAAAAGTTTCATGTCTCTATCTCATTCAGTTCTTCTCTGAGTTTGGTTATTGTTTTCTGATAGCTTTGGGGTTTGTTTCCTCCTAGTTCTCTAGTTCTTTTAGTTGTGATGTTAGATTGTTGATTTGAGATCTTTCTAGCTTTTCAATGTGGGAATTTGGTGCTATAAATTTCCCTTTTGCACTGCTCTAGCTGCTGTAGCTGCATCCCAGAAATTCTGGTACATTTTGTTTTTTCTCATTAGTTTCAAATAACTTCTTGATTTCTGCCTTAATTTCATTTTTTACCCAGAAGTCATCAAGGAGCAGATTGGTCAATTTCCATGTAGTTGTGTGGTTTTGAGTGAGTTTCTTAATCTTGATTTCTAATTTGTTTGTGTTGTGGTCTGAAGGACTCTTTGTTATAATTTCAGTTCTTTTGCATTTGCCGAGGAGTGTTTTACTTTTGCATTTACTCTAAAAATTGTGATCAATTTTAGAGTAAATGCCATGTTGTGATGAGAAGAAGGTATATTCTGTTGTCTATGAATGGAGAGTTTTGTAGATGTCTATCAGGTCTGCTTGATCCAGACCTGAATTCGAGTCCTGATTGTCTTTGTCAATTTTCTGTTTTGATGATCTGCCTAATATTGTCAATGGGGTGTTTAAGTCTCCCACTGTTATTGTGTGGGAGTTTAAGTCTCTTTATAGGTCTCTAAGAACCTGCTTTATGGATGTGGGTGCCCCTGTACTGGGTGCATATATATTTAGGATAGTTAGCTCCTCTTGTTGAATTGATCCCTTTACTATTATGTAATGCCCTTGCCTTCTCTGTCCTTTTTGATCTTTGTAGGTTTAAAATCTGCTTTGTCAGAAACTAAGATTGCAATTCGTGCTTTTTTTCCCCTGTTTTCCATTTGCTTGATGAATTTTCCTCCTTTTCTTACTTTGAGTCTATGTGTGTACTTGCATGTGAGATGGATCTCTTGAATATGCTATACTGATGGGTCTTGACTCTTTATCCAGCTTGCTATTCTGTGACTTTAATTGGGACATTTAGTCCATCTACATTTAAGGTTAATATTGTGGTGTGATGTTGATCCTGTCATCATGATGATAACTACTTGTTTTGCAGACTTGTTTATGAAGTTGCTTCATATGTCACTGGTCTGTGTACTTTAGTGTCTTTTTGTAGTGGCTGGTAATGTTCCCCCCACCCCCCCACATTTAGTGCTTCCTTCAGGAGCTCTTGCAAGGCAGGCCTAGTGGTGATGAATTCCCTCAGCATTTGCTTTTCTGAAAAGGATCTCACTTCTCCTTTGCTTATGAAATTTAGTTTGGCCGGATATAAAATTCCCTTTTGGAAATTCTTTTCTTTAAGAATGTCGAATATTGGACTCCAATCTCTTCTGGTTTGTAAGGTTTTTGCTGAGAGGTCTTCTGTTAGTCTGATGGGCTTCCCTTTGTAGGCGACCTAGCCTTTCTGTCTAACTGCCATTAACATTCTGTTTTCACTTTAACCTTCAATAATCTGATGATTATATGTCTTGGGTTGATCTTTTTGTGGAGTATCTTACTGGGGTTCTCTAGATTTCCTGAATTTGAATGTTAGCCTGTCTGTTAGGTTGGGGAAGTTCTCCTGGAGGATATCATGAAGTATGTTTTCCAACTTGGTTCCATTTCCCCCATCTCCTCAAGTAGAACAATCAGTCATAGGTTCAGTCTTTTCACATAATCCCAGATTTCTTAGAAGGTTTTGTTTTTTCCTTTTCATTCTTTTTTCTCTATTTTTGTCTATCTTTTTCTGAAAGATAGTCTTCAAGCACTGAGATTCTTTCCTCTGCTTGGTCTATTTGGCTATTGATACTTGTGATTGCAATGTGAAATTCTTGTGTTGTGTTTTTCAGCTCTATCAGGTCATTTAAGTTCCTCTTTAATGTAGCTATTCTGGTTATCAGCTACTGTAATATTTTGTCATGATTCTTAGCTTCTTTGCATTGTGTTAGAACACGCTCTTTTATCTCAGCAAAGTTTGCTATTACCCACCTTCTGAAGCCTTCTTCTATCATTTCAGCCATCGCAGCCTCAGCCCAGTTCTGTGCCCTTGATAAAGATGTGTTGCAATCATGTGGAGGGGAAGAAGCCCTCTGGCTTTTTTAGTTTTCAGCATTTTTGCATTGATTCTTTCTCATCTTTGTGTGCTTATCTACTTTGATCTTTCAGGTTGCTGACATTTAATGGGGTTTTTGGGGGCATTTTTTGTTGATGCTGTTGTTGCTCTTTGTTTTTCTTTAACAGTCAGGCCCCTCTTTCATAAGGCTCCTGTGGTTTGCTGGGGGTCCACTCCAACAACAATTCCCTGGGTTCCTCCCACACCTGGAGGTATCACCGGTGAAGTTTGCAAAATAGCAGAGATGACAGTCTTTTAATTCCTCTAGAAGCTCCATCCCAGAGAAGCACTGACCTGATGCCGGCTCAAACGTTCCTATAGGAGATGTCTGGAGACCACTGTTGGTAGCTCTCACCTAGTCACAAAGAACAGGATCAGAGACTCACTTAAAGAAGCAGTCTGGCTGCCCCTTGGTGGAGCAGGTGTGCTATGCTAGAGGGAACTCCCCTTGTCTAGACTGCCGGGACTCTCCAGAACGAACAGGCAGGAAAGGCTAAGTCAGCTGAACAGCAGGGACTGCAGCTGCCCCTTTCCACAAGGGATCCATCCCAGGGAGATCAGAGTTTTGCCCATAAAACCCTGGTTGGAGCAGTTGAAATAGTTTTATGGTATCCTGGCCGGTGTTTTATATTGCCACTATTTTTTAATTTTAGCTATTTTAATAGATGTATAGTGATATCTCATTGTGATCCTAATTTACAATTATTTAATGACTATGGTCTCTTGGTGTACTCATTTGCTATCTGTATATCCTCCTTGGTGGGCAGTTTGATCATGTCTTTTGTCATTTTCTGATTGTGTTGTTTACTATTTTACTATTGAATTTTTAAAGTTCTTTGTATTTTTGAGATACAAAGCTTTTGTGGGGCAGGGCATGGTGGCTCACGCCTGTAATCCCAGAACTTTGGGAGGCTGAACTGAGTGGATCACCTAAGGTCAGGAGTTCGATACCAGGCTGGCCAACATAGTGAAACCTTTTCTCCACTAATAATACAAAAAGTATCTGGGTGTGATGGCAGGCTCCTGTAATCTCAGCTACTCGGGAGGCTGAGGCAGGAGAATCTCTTGAACCTGGGAGGCAGAGGTTTCAGTAAGCTGAGATTACCCACTGCACAGCACTCCAGCATGGGCGACAGAGTGAAACACTGTATCAAAAAAAGCAACAACAACAACAACAAAAATAAAACAAACCAAAAAACAAAGCTTCTATTGGGTATATATTTTCCAAATATTCTTTCCTCTCTGAAGCTTGCTATTAATCCTCGTAAGAGTGTCTCACAGAGCAATTTGTTTTTATTTTGATGAGGTTAAATTTGCCAAATTTATTAATTATTTCTTTTAAAATTCTGCTTTTGGTGTTCATTATAAGAACCCTTCATCTAGAACAAAATCTGTAATGTTTTCTCTTAAAATTTTTGTAAAAATTTTGTAGCCTT